GTTCCACAACCATGTCAGGCTTGCTAGTAAAAGCAAAAGAGGAGTGTTCTGCTGGGGTAGGATGGGGCAGGATGGCACAGAAGGAAAGGTGGCACTAGCAAAGTCCTGGGGCCAAGTTGGTGCATGTTCCTGGAGGGAGGTACATTCTTAGAGTGAGGCACATTCCTGGAGGAGGGCTCAGTAGGGGTGATCCATCCTAGGAAGTAGGAAACTCAGATGTGTTGGGGAACACCAGTAGCTTCAAGGTGGCTCTAAGGTGGGGGTCATGGACAGAAGCAGTGATATTAAACATGGGGAAACTATTTAAAGTTATATGACCCTTTGAATCCTGTGAGTGGGACCCACACTTCTGATGGATACCCTATGGCATGGACTGAGTGGAGCCAGAGGTCATATCCAACTCCCCTGTCCCCAAAACCCCTTTTGTCCTCCAGGAAGTTCACCCCAGATCCTCTGTACTGCTGCCACCGCTGTGAGGGTCTGGAGCAAGCCCAGGAGACTGACTCTGATAGTATCTATTTGGCATTATGTATGAGTCAAAGAATTTTCTGGAGCCAAGTTTCTCCCCAGGCCCTCCGAGGCCTGAGAACCCCACCCTGAGGAGTTCTGGGCTCTGGGCACCTGGTACGTTGTTGGCACTTCCTGGAGGACTTGTCAAAAAGAGATTGATTCCTCTCCCTCCGGCAGCGCAGAAAATCCTTCCTGCTGCTCCAGACAGGTTTGGGGCACTGCTGGGAGACAGAAAAGGATTTCAGCTGCAGCCCCACCCAACTGGGTGCAGGAATCCCATCTGCAGACCCAGATGCTGGTTGCATACACTCTGAGACACCTTCTTCAACATTCTTCTCACCCTTCTGCAACAGGCCCCTCAGCACTGAGCTTGGTAGGGAAGGCTGGCATCTCACTGGGCAGGTCTCTGCTGCCCAGGATGACTCCTCCTACCAGGGTCTAAGTCCTGCCCTCTGGGCACCTAGACCTTCCTGTTTCCCTGTCCCAGGACAAGAATGCAGAGCTTGTGGGGTAGCACTCAAAGACCCTGGGAATTACTTTCTCTGGGCTGCACATTTTATACCTGCTTCTCTTTTGAGACAGGATCTCACTGTGTAGCAATCCTCCTAGCCCAGCCTCCCAAGTCCTGCAAGTACAGGTATGTGCTACCAGGCTTGGCTGCTCTTTTTCTGTTCTAGAAATCACAAAGCAAGACCATTCCCTCCTTTCTATGTGCATTAGGCATCAGTTATGTGGCCTTAGCTGCTGACTTTTTAGCAGTCTGATAGCAAATACTGGTCACCTAAAGCATGCAGTTTTTCTCAGTCTCTTATCCTGTGCCTCTGTAACCTACTTTTTACACAAAATTTTTAGGCGTTCACCTCTCTTCTGTGGAAGGGACAGAATTCTTTCACTCACGTGATCCCAGGTGACTCCGTCAGAGTTCAGTAGACTATAAGACCCTGTGCTCTGCTAGAGGCCCCCCTTACTAGTCATTGGTTGAACCTGAATGTGCTTGCTATGTCCTGCACACACCCTTTGCCTCAAGCCCGACCTGTGCTGGCTTTGGGGCTTAGCACACAGCTTCCCAGCCCCAGCCCCTATGGCTGGTTCACTAGCAGATGCTGCATATTTTGCCTCTTCTCCCCCACCCCAGCAGCTGCTGACTGTATCAGAGTTGTATCATCACTGGCTGGGCACTGGGGGCAGTGCCCCTCCTGCCTCTCTAACCTCTAACCTAATCTCCCCTCCATCCAGAGTGAGCTAGTGGCTATCTGCATGATGACCCTGCCCTGGAGTCAGGTCTGCCTGTCCCTCACCTCTGTAACCCTGAGCCTCTGCCCTCCAGCCACATTGCCTCCTTCCTGTACCTCCCAGGGGCTGCATCCCACCTCCGGCAGGCACAGGCACATACTGTTCTAGTCCATCCTTCCTGCTACCTGGGTGCTGCACAGATCTTGCTTTCTGGGAGCCATTCTCCTGCTCCACATATTCCGGGTTGCCCCTTCCATCCCACAGTGCTCACCAGTTTCTAAGTGGGCTAGGGGAGAAAATGAATGTCATAGCTACTTTGCATTTGGGACTGTAAGCTCAGAGATAGCAAAGGCTATACCTCAGAGCAGGCAGGGCCAGTCTGTTGCATCAGGCCTCCCAGAGACTGCAAGCAACCACACTGCCAGCAGCACACAGCAAGTGTTTGCTATACAATGAACAAGAGAACGACAGAATGCATGCGGGGACAAACAGCCCTCCATTCTTGCAAACAGAAGTCAGCACCTTTGCTATACCAGGCTGGTTGTCACAAGTTACCAGATCCTGAGGAGTGTCCGGGGTGGGGTTTTCTGGGAGAGGAGACTGAGGGGGAAGTTCAGATCCAAGCTCTGTAGGAGACAGGCAGAGACCAAGCCCTGAGGAATGCTGCCCACCTGTGTCCCCCCCCCAGGCTGGAATGGCCAGACTTGTTCCCCTATATCTTTGTGCCCAGAGACTGGCTGCCAGGGAAGAGCCATTCTGTGTTCCTGGCCTAACAGAGGACACTGACATATCGATGGTTCATCACTTCCCAGAGACAGGACAGCTGTAGAGATGGAGGGTCAGGGGTAAGGGCCCCTACCCTGATAATCAGAGGTATCTTCCTGGAAAAGGTAGTGTTTTGTTGTTGTTGTTGTTGTTTCCTGACAAGGTAGACTATTCAAAAGCCCAGGCAGGGACAGGGGGTGGGGTGCATAGTCCAGTGGCAGAGCATACACTTAGCATGTGTGAGGCCTTGGCTTCCTTCACCAACACTGTACACAAAACAAACATGAACATAAAAGGCCAGCCCCCCTGCTGGATGTCACACTCCTTCAGCCTCTTGATATCTCAGATGCTGCCTCAGTAAGGCTCTGCAAACCTCGCTGCAGGCACATGGTCAGAATTGTTGAGCTGGTTGTGTTTGGGACCATCTGAAATGACGATAAAGATTAGCCTTCCAGATAAGCATCTGGCAGGTGCAGAGCCAGAGACCTGGGAGGGGCCAGCTGGGCTGACTGCTGTGGAGAGCACTAGAGTGAGGGAATGGCTCAGCTCTGCCCTTCAGAGGGAGGGTATGAAGTCATGGCTGGGACACTGGGCACATTCACATGGGAGTAAAGTCTGAATAAGGCCATGGAACAGCCAATGGATGGCTGGGTAAGATGGGCTGAGCCATGCCAGGGAACACTATTCAGCCATGGCAGGAAGGAAATTCTGACACACCTGGATGAGCCTTGAACACTATGCCGAGTGGCATATGGAAGCTGTATGTGCAAAGGCCACATGTTATATGGTTCGTTTACATGGCTATCTTGAACAAGCCAATCTATGAAGTAGGAAAGTAGCTTAGTGGTCAGGCCTGCAAACAAGGCATGGGAGTGATGGCAATGGACAGGGGTTTGTGTGGGGATGATAGAAACATTCTAAAACTAGACTGTGTTGATGATGGTGGTATAGCTCTGAAGACACAGTTATTAACTGCTGAACTGTGTACACGGACAGGTGAATTGTCTGACATGTGAGCTGTATAGAAATGAAGCTTCTCAAAGGGGTTTCCTAATCCATAGGACAAAAGAGTGATCCCAGAAGAGTGGTGCGGCACCCAGGGCTGGAGGCCCTGAAGGACCCAAGGCTGGAGGAATTCAGACAGGATGTACAGCGGGGACTGGAACCTTTCATAGTGTGAACACTACCTCTTGTGGAGTCTAGTAGGAATCTAGCAGGGACAGTGACTCCCAGCACTTTCTTCCTGTTCCCTAGTCTTCTTCCCCCAGTACCTTCCATGGGCCAAGCCCACCTGGGCAGGCCTGCTGAGGCCAGACTCAGATGTGCATTTATTCCCTCCTGTGTTTCCCTTTGATCTTGTGGAATGTTGGAGTAAGTGGTAGACCCCAGCATGCTTATGCAGCCCATCTTTAACCTGGGACCCAGAGATGCAACCTGGTAGGGGAGTAATTTCAATACATCTCTGGTGAACTCCCTTTCGGCATTTCTTGAGTACCTGCTAGGTGCTAGACCCTGGAAGTTAACAGAATCAGGTCACCATAGGGGCTGCAAAGTCTCAACCCACCTGACCTGAAACATAGGGAAGAGGGCTAGGAAGCCATCTCCTCAGGCATCTCAGAAGCCAGGAGCTAGCCTGGCTTAAAGGGGTGGGAGTCGGGATGGAAGAATGAGAGTTGCACGTGTTTCCTCTGCTGCTGTCCCCACCTCATAGAGGTGGCTGACTGCTCACTGAATGACCAACCCTGGTGAGGGCAGTTGTGATTCTACTGGACAGAGGGCCAACCCTGAGGCTCTCAGAATGCCAAGTTAGCAAAGCTTGGCTGAATGTCACCTGATTAAGGGCCCATTCAATATCACCACAGCCCCAGGCCATCAGTGGCAGCAGAGGAAGAGGGAGGCCTAGTGGGAGCAGTAAGCAGCCTGAGGCAGGGGTGACCGCCGTACCCCCCAGGCTCTGAAGCCCAGCCTTCAGCTCAGGGACCCACTGCCCAGGACCCCCAAGCAGCACAGGGTCTGAGCCACAGTGAGCCAGGACACAATGGACAGTGATACCAACTCTGAAGCCATTGTCTGTACCAGTGCAGCTGCAACAGTTAGTTACTATTGTGATTCTCACCCCAGTGTTGCTGAAAGATATAATTTGGCAACAAATTCTTTAAACTGAACCCTCATAGGTTGTAAACATGACTCAAAATTGATCTTAAACCTATGAGGACCAAAGAGAACCACTGTGTATTTGGACCAAGCCAGACTGGTCTTGCCGAACTGGGAAAGCACACAGGAGTTGAAAGTAAACAGGGCACACAAGTCCAGGCAGGGCACCATGGCAAGGCAGTAGAGGTAGAGAGACTGGAGTCTAGGCCTAAGTTGCCTATACCGAAAAGAGAAACAAAAACCAAGGTGGCTGAGTGGACCGGGAGGGATGGGATGGGCCTGCACTTGGCCATGGCCCACAGTGACATGTGCTGTGCTCTCCCCTGCCTGCCCCACAGATCCTGGAGGAGAACATGAAGCTGGAGTGTAAGTGTCATGGTGTGTCAGGCTCCTGTACCACCAAGACATGCTGGACCACACTGCCACAATTCCGAGAGCTGGGCTACGTGCTCAAGGACAAATACAACGAGGCCGTCCATGTGGAACCCGTGCGTGCCAGCCGCAATAAGCGGCCCACCTTCCTAAAGATCAAGAAGCCCCTGTCTTACCGCAAGCCCATGGACACAGACCTGGTATATATCGAGAAGTCACCCAATTACTGTGAAGAGGACCCAGTGACAGGCAGCGTGGGTACACAGGGCCGTGCCTGCAATAAGACAGCCCCACAGGCCAGCGGTTGTGACCTCATGTGCTGTGGCCGTGGCTACAACACACACCAGTATGCCCGCGTGTGGCAATGCAACTGCAAGTTCCACTGGTGCTGCTATGTCAAGTGCAACACGTGCAGTGAGCGCACCGAGATGTACACGTGCAAGTAAGCCAAGGCCACACTGTGCCCTCCAGCCACAGGTCAGATGGCAGGGAGGACCAGCCACCCCCAGGCCACAGTCTCCCTATAGGCCACTGCCTGGATACTCACAGGGAACTACAGAAGCACTGAGCTTGTCTTTTCTGCTGAGAGGGGGGGCATTATTCTGGGTTTCCTGCAAACATATGTGGGAAGAATCTCTCAGAAGCCTCGCCCATTCTGTTCCATATCAATGCTGCTCCACCCTCCCCCAGATACCACCCAGTCCCTCCATGGCTGGAACAAAGCTTTCTGCAACAGGGGCTCAGGACCGTGGGTTCTCTGGACCCTCAGGCCTCATCATAGCAATATTTAACAATTTATTCTGATAAGAAATAATATTAATTTATTTAATTAAAGAGAATTCTTCCACTTCGTCGGGATCATTTTCTGCAATCAAAGTGGACTGCTTGATGTCCTGGCAGGATGATTTTGTTGCTAGGACCAGGAGCTGCATACAACTGTACATAATGATTCTTTATGCAGATGTTTCTACTAGTTGATTTTGCAAGTATTCCTTCACAGCATTAGATGTTTAAGTACAAAGAGAAGACATTTCTTTATACATATATAGATATATACACACACACATTTATTTTTTTTTGCCATTTGCTGCTACCTATCCAGAATTTAGTATGGTCCAGATCTGGAGATATTTTTCTCCAGAATATGTTCCCCATCCTTTTGCCCTCCCCAGTTTAAACCTCGCCATTAGGAAAGTTCCAGGTGGAATAGTACGTGTGAGAGGAACAATAATAATAAACTGCCATCAGTGTCTAGCATCTCGAAAGTGAGCCACTGGATAAGAGGTTTTGTAAGAGACTATTTTTCTATGAATATTTTATTTATATGGAGTCTGCCTGTGTTGCCCAATGGCCCATGCATCTTCTTAACACTGGTACTCACTCAGGGGCAGGAGGGCAAGGACAGGTGTGTGTGTGTGTGTGTGTGTGTGTGTGTGTGTGTGTGTGTGTGTGTGTGTGTGTGTGTGTGTAGGTCCCCTGGGGATCCTCACACAATTGAATTCTGGAGTTCTATTTGCCAAGGGGGCCACAGCAGCTCCCAGATGCCTGGAGCTGATGCATCATCCATATTAACTGGGAAGAAATCAGCCCCCAGCCTCAGCCTGGTAAGATCAGGCCTTGGAATGGGGTCACTGGATGGTGACTTCAGGATGAACTACAGAGGCAGATGAGTCAGTGTCCCACACATTTTGTAACCATCAGAGGGTCATGGCCTTGATCGTCAGAAAGAAGCCAGCTCAGGGATGCTAAAGACTTCCAGGACAGCCCAGCTACCGCCTATGTGCTGGCAGGTGAGATGCAGTCCTCAGAGGAGGGGCCCGAACGGAAGAAGGAGGGGCCCAAGCATCCAGGGACAACTACAGTGAAAGGGGTGAGCGTAGTCCCTCTGAGGCAGATCCAGCTTCACTTGTGCCACTCAACCGGGAAACCCCTCAAGAAGGCTGGGATATGTGTCTCCACGTGCATTTCCACCTGTACGCATGCATGCGCACACATACACACACTCCCGTGCCAGCACTTTGAAGTGCCTCCAGAGTGTTCCTGTGTGTGTGCCTCTGTGTACTGGGAGAGTAGGTCTGGGGCATTACTGAGGTATACATGCTTACAAGTGAGGTAGGTGCAAGGAAGACAGCAGGGAACTGTTTTGATTGTGCTGAGCCACAAAGAGGCTGCGTCTCTGAACTCTGTCCCTACAATTGCTGGTGAAATTCAGATACCTGTGAGTCCCCTGAGCCTTACAGCCCTATGTGCTTGGAACCCCTCGGCACCTAGTCCATGTCCAGTTTCTCACCTGGGTCACAGCATGACAAATAAACATGATTGGATGTTCAGTTTCTTCCCTTGAATATGTTTTTTTTCCTTTAATTGGGTATCTGGATGTGTGTGCATGTAATTGGAAAGATAGAGTGGATGAATGCATGCATGGATAAATGGATGGTATGGGTAGATGTATGGGTATAGATGAACAGATGACAGATAGATAATAACTGAGATGCTGGATGGATAGGTGGGTATATAGGTAGATAGGTGAGTGAGGGGCAGGGCAGATGGACAGAGGGCTTAATAGATCAATGTGTAAGTAGATAAGTATGTAGTAAGAAAACCTACCAGAATCTCTCAAAGCTCTTATGTCGCACTGTCTCTGCTTTGGCACATCTACAGTGTCTCCTTTGAATAGAGGCTTTCCTACTTCAGAGTCCCTCTGTTCCTGGCCTCATTGCACCTGAGAATGGGGAAATGCCTCTGCAATCGAATATTGAAAGTTAGCTGCAAAGATATGACCTCAGAAAAGTCACCTCCACACCCTCCTCCATCATCTAAATGAGCAGAGGGCCTGCATGAGGGCAGCCAGTCCTGTGAGAACACTGGGGTTAGCTGCTAGCTGGTCCCATAGCACACTGCTGGCATCCAATCCCAGGACCTGACCTCTCTTTGGGCACTCAGCTGTGCTCTAAGTCTCAGTTTCCCCATCTGTAAAATCAGAGTAGAAACACCTACCTCTCAGGGCTACTGGAAGAATCTCCCCTGGAATGGCTGTGGAGCCCTTGGAATTGCAAATCAAAGGATGAAAGCTGGAGGCTGTTATTGTCAGTCATGGCTGTGGCTGTTTACTATGCACCCGTACAGGAACAGGATTCTTCTAGCCCAGCTTAAGGTGATGTATACTTGACTCTGTGCTGGCAAAGCTACTCCCTGTCCCATCTTTGTATTCCTAAAGTGGCTTTTCAACAAAACTAATGTTTAAAGAGTTGAAATCTTAAGTGGTTAAATCAAAACATCAGGCAGATGGCTGTAGAGGGGTGAGCCACAACTCAAGCAAGCTGCTCAGCATACACCATTTTTGCCATATCAGAATGTGGTTCGTGGAGGCCAAATTTATGGACTTTTTTCCCACAAGGATCTGAATGAACCAGATGCTTGCACATGCTAGGCTCTACCAAGGAGCCCCAGACCCAACCCTGATTTATCAAGCAAGGCTTGCCACCTGGATTTCTAAGCACAACCTCCCATTTGGGGTACACTGACAAGCACCATGCTTGGTATGAAGCAAGATGCAGCTGTGGCTGACCGTTCCACTGGCCTCCAGCCTGACTTGAATCAAACCTCATTTCAAGGTGGAAAAACCGAAGCTGAGAGAGAAGCAGGACTCTACTTTGGGCCACACACGTGTCCAACCCAGGAAAGACTGAGCTCAAGCTTTGTGTCTCCTGTACATAACCTTTTACCACCATACCATGCCAACTGGGGCAGCAAAATAACTGACAGAGGAAGGGCTCAGAAGGATAAGACACACACACATGCACACAGAGAGACAGATAGACACAGGCAAATAGACGCACACATAGGCAGAAACACACAGAGATACATACATACACATAAACACAGACACGCACAAACACACACAGAGAGACGCAAACACAGACAGGCACAGATAGACATACGCACACATGCAAAAACACACATAGAAACAGACACATATACAGAGATACATACCTTGAGTTTAAAACTAGCTCTAGCTGCACTACTACCCTCAGGCCTCTTGGGGTAAGTCTATAGCGCAGCTCTCTGCGCCGGGACTCCCTAAGCGACATTCACTCTTCCATCCCCCGCCTCACCGTTCTATACTCCTAGTTTGGGCCCTGGGCCATTCCTAGTCTCAGGGCCCCAGACACCTGGGGAACCAATACTGCTTCCTGATCCTTCTCACCCAGAGCAACTAAGTCCTTTTCTTGGGCTCCAGGACCACCGCTTCTGGTCCTGGCCCTGCCCTCATCTCCCTCTACTTCCCTGGTCCTGCAACACTCGCCAGCCTTTTTCTGGGGCTGACAGCCTCTTTCTGGGGCTCTGAGGCTTACCTTTACTCTCCCTGAACCTTTGCATCCAGTACAACCCAGCTACTCAATCCACTCCCTGGGAAATCTTGGGGCTT